CGGCATTTGGCAACCCAGTGGCGATGACCCTTTTTGACTCGCACCTGCACCAACCCATTCGCAGACGTCTCTTCTTGCCTTTCCCCAGCCTACTTGTTTGTCACTCTCGCACTTTATACATGCTGCCAATGCCCTGTCAACATGTGAGAAAGTAACAGGTCTACAGGTACTCAACCTTTCATACACATTAGTACGAGCTCGAGCGAGCGCTCACACACACACACACACACACACACACACACACGCAAGCACACAGGCATGCACAGCCTGGCAAATATGGAGACGGTGACAGACAAAATAACGAGTGAGAGATACCCCCATTCTACTTGTTCGGCATGTACTAGTGCGCAAGCAGCATTCACCCACCCACCCACACACACACACACAAACAGACAATTATGAGCATACCATACCGCATCATCTACATGCTAGATTGCATGGTTTACAGTTGCACACTCTTCTACACAAAAGGAGAATGTGTTGGAATCAACGCCTACCTGGAGCTGAGTAGTTGGATGTCTTCTTTTGCTGGCGAAACACATTCACCTTTTCACACTAAATGAACCCCAAAATGCAAGTCTCCTACGAACCGATGAAAGTGACCTGTAGCAAAGGCTCTCTCGCCTTCTCACTCTCGGCCTCTCCCTCTCGTCGCTCTCTCGTCCTGAGTCGGTCACCGCATTATCCCATCCGACCATTTTAGGCAGTCTTTACTCATCTACCTCTTAATTGTCTGCTTTCACAGAAGTGCCCACATCTGCTCGTATGTCTGCGCATGCCTGCATGCACACACACACATACACACATGCATATACACAGCCATGTGGACAAGAGTGTATGATTGTATGTGTGAATTTCATAGAGAGGCTTCCAACCCACCCGGCAAAGCGATACCTTAGCGTCTGGAGGGAGGAGGGGGGGGGTGAAAAATTCCAATTCACTTTCAATAACAACCAAAAGCGCCACACGTACCTGAGTCGAGTGTCGTAAAGCCCTCAGCTCGACAATAAAACACCATATATTGCCCTTCCCATTAGCTGGCCTCGTAAACAGGTTTATTGCCATGGCAGCCCAGCTCCACTCGAGAGGTGTCGTGGTATGCTTCAAAGGAGGCCTACTTGGAAGTAAAATGCAGGTAGGGCAATGTACAAACGCTGGCCTGTCTGTCTGTCGCTTCAAAAGCAAGATCGCATTCACCAACTCTTTCGTTTAAGTGCCTGTCGCTGACTGCCATCGCTGGCCGTTCGTCTATCCACACATTCTATGACCCACTTGACTGTCCAACCAGCCATCCATCCATCCATCGGTCCACTCAACAATTCGTCTATGCATCCCTTTCTCATTAGACATCCATACGTCGGCTCAGATTGCCTGTGCCTATACACACCCACCGGAATGGTTGTACCACTGACCTGCGAGCATATTCAGCTTTGCATCAGTTTATAGGTTGATTTTAGCCGATTTCAACCACCCACCGACTCACTCACATCGAACAATTCTGGCCATGGAGTAGGTTTTATGAGACCCCAGGGTCCGGGAGACGAAGAGTGAGGCTGAGAACTCGACCAGGCAATAGTTGTGAACTCATCAGCATTCACATAGACGAGCGGCAGCAACAATCGTGTCCGAGGCCAACTGTCCGTGGATTCAGCAGCTCACGAGATGGCCGATCAGATGCATTAAAAGCTGTGCAGGACAAAAGACCAGAAGACAATACGAATTGCGAATATGAATGAGGGAAGGTGACAAAAATGGGGATCAAAAACAAACTACTCGCAGCTACAGCGCCCATTAATACAGTGACAAAAGGGGGAAAGTAATGAAGAAGGGAATAATGGAAACTTCAGAAAATAGTACCAATTGATGACACTACTAAAGTGTGTATTGACTTTTGGAAGTTTGGGTGGGTGGATAGACGGTTTTTAAAGTAGAGCAAGTGGGTGGTTGGCTCTATATGAAAAGTTTGTTAGGTCGGCATCTCACATGCTAGACAGATATGCACACAGTTAGTTGTGTGCATGTGTGTAGACGAGAGGAGGGCGAGAGCCGTGGCCTGGGGGAGTTTTGTTGGATTAGTGTTTTGGTATGAAGTCTTATTCAATGCCGGATTTGAGGCTAGATTTTGACATTCACCCCGGATGCTCTACCAGTCTTTCCTTCCACAGCCGCGAACATTGTCACTCTTTTGTAAGAGTAATATTCTGTGAAGAAAGTCCTCATATGTTCGTCATCGGCACTCATGTATTTGAGCAGACTGGCAGGTACACAAATGTAATAGGGTGGGTGAACCGCCATTACTACTATATCTAAATATCAGTAGTATATACTAATATAGACAGAAATAATAAATGGTTGGATATACAAATTTATTAAGCTTACTTTTTTATCGGGGGAAAGCGCTTTGTGAAAATATTAGAGAGTCAACCCCATCAGAAGGTGACGGCGGATTCTAATTGGCCAACTGTCGATTGGCTTTACTTGAACAATCTTGTTGACGTTGTTCCAGAGGCAGTCTCCTTCGATTCCGGTGAAAATATGCTTAGCTTTCGTCCGTTGTATGACGAAAATGTTAATGTATGCAAGTGGGAAATTGAGGAGTGAAAAATGATTTCACTTCTTCATTCTATCTGGGGCTCTTCTTGATTCGTTATCTTGAATAGGACTGTGAGGATGATATTGTGACATGACTTTCCATTTTGAAGAGAAGTTGGTTGGAAGGAATTCGTGATGTGGTCTCACCGGAAATCGTGAAGAATGGATTGCTGTTCTGATGATGTCTGCCAGAGTACCGACGAAAGCTTAGCACAGTTTCATCTGGGTTACAGGACGGTGAGCCGAGGATATCTTCAAACAATTCAATAGTCTTCCCCACGCGGCAATTCTTCGCCGGCTTCCGGCACGAGCCCATCACGAATTCCTTCCAACCAACTTTTCCTTCGAAATGGAAAGTCATTTCACAATAGTTCACTAAAGGATTCTTCGAAATACACTTTTCTGATAATGTCTGTCATATGACGGGCAAAGTTTTGGCACTTTTTCACCAAACTCGAAGGCTAATGCGTCGTAAATAGCGTCGACAAGTATGTTCCAGTAAAGCAAATCGACAGCTGGTCAAGAGGATTGCACCGTCGTCTTCTGGTGGGATCGACTTTGGAATCTCTTCATTTGGAGTGGAACTAAACTCAACAGTTTTGAAACAAGATATTCCTCAAAACCTAACTTTCCTTCGCATATACAAAGTTACACTTCATATCTAAATTATTTATTTATACTCGAAAAAGGAGTAACATATTCAATTGGCCTGGCAAATACAACTATGCTTCATCGACAATTTCACCATAGAATGCCTGGCCCTCCTTGATTCTCGCATCTTCCATGTGACCCATGGACACTCGTGGCAGTCTGTCGAGATTATACGTTACTTGTTCGAGTACCGCTGGGGGTGTTGCTAAGTTCTATGTGAGGTCGAAACTGCAGTCCAGCATGGATGAGAACAACGTGTGGGAAAGCAAGGCTGTGTGAAATTGAATGGAAACGTCAGCTCTACGCCTATTATTGTGAAAAAATTCAACTATTAGTCATCTTATCACCTTAACCGAAGTAGGGCTAATGTACTTTATGTATAAAATATCTATCTTATAAACAAATTCGCGAATACTTTAGTACATGGATAGACTGGCCGAACGTTAAAGTGGCAGATTCATGGATATGCAAAGCAATGAAAGGTGCCTAGATAGATAGATTTTTGTGGTATGATTTGAGATAGAAAAAGGAAGCAATGTTTTGCGAGTTGGCTTGGTATGTTAATAGGGCGAGAGCAAGGAAAACCTATACCATTCTCATACTTGTGGCATATATGGCATTATTTATTAATTTGCCAGTAGCAAATTTCATATACATCTGGCAAAATCCGACTTTAATTACTTTGGATAACTCATAATCTCGGGCCAGACTAAGCCACCAACTGGCTTTGCCTAAAGTGGAAAACAGCAAAGCGCGAGCAACGGGTGCTTCCAGTTAACTGCTGGAAATCCAGTGCATATATACACTTTATTAAAGTAATTATCCCTTGGCCACAATAAACTTGACTGGCGCGGTTGTTGTGACGGCGCCAAACCGTACACTTCTGGGATCCCGAGGTTCCGGCGTTCGAACCCCTCATGAACTGGCTTTAAGGCCGCTATCTATTTTATGTGTACACGTTTCACATCAACCGGACAGTTCACTGAAGCCTCGGCCTCGAAGCCGAGTGGAGTTGGTGGTGGAGGCGAAGTCTTGGGTAATCGTTTATTGAACTTTTATGATACTTTGGGAAACTATCGTTTTTTCCCCGCCAAGCAATGAGCTTACTTGACCAGCTTTCAGATCGGCCGTTTCGTCAACTTGTCTTCAATATCATTGCGAGTTGCATTCGAATGACGTGAAATGGTATCGGCGTGCCTTGGTCCCAGAGCTCGGACAGTTTGGAAGACCTTTTCGATGATTCCGGCCACAGGGCTTCTGGTCCAAACGAGCGATTCGACTTGATCCCATTTTTTGGGTTCGTTTCTTGCCGTCTGGCCCAACTTCTGCATACGTCTTCAAGAGACATCTGCGCTCGTCCGGTAGATGCTTCAGACACGAGCACCAATTATTCAAATGGCCTAAAGAAATCAGCTCATATGCCGTAATTCACATATATACACACACACACACACACACACACGCAAGCGCTCTGGTTCATGTCGGCCAAGTGAATACGCTGCTGGAAACTGGTTGCCCAAATGTCCACTTTCTTGTTTGACCAGACGGACCCCGGCCGGACAGATTAGTGGCCTCGGTGCATCATAAATGCATGTTGTATTTGGACGTCTTGAAGAGCAGCTGAAATCATTTTGTCTCGAAGTTTTTGACCAAGCATTTAGACTCGCCCAGCACGTCTGTTTCAGGTGCTCGCATGACCATGGAGACAGACAAGTTGGCCTTCTACCTTGGGACTGTGCAAGTGTGTACCTACACGAAAACCGGGTTTCATAGCTTTGAACTTGATGGCGAAATTATTCCCTCATTCGCCGCCATACCACACCATTGAGTTTGCAGAAAATCGGTGGGTTTTATCAGCATTCCTATGACCGTTGTACAGACAACTAATCATTAAACACACACACACATACACACACACACACACACATTCTCACACAAAGGCATATATACGCATGTATTTACACATTTTAAGAATGACGTTGCCTCGGCTATTTATATTTTTTCCCTTTCTCCAGAAAATAAACTTCTCAAATACATGCCTGAAGACCAACCATGAGGCCAGTCGGGCTGGAGAGCTCTAGCTTCAGGAGACCTGGACTATCACGCGAATGTGCATGGACCATGAAGGAGCAAATTAAGATCGGCCCCATTAGTTTCGAAAAGCCGGGAGAAGACAGGCAGACGAACAAATACAGCTGTCCGGCTGTGGAAGCAGAGATAAAGGCAATGAAGGCAGTTTGCCAGACGACTTCTCACTCGAACACCCCTCTTCACATGCCCACACACACACAAACATGCAAGTACTAGGGTAGTCGCCCAAGTGCCTATTATCATTCTTAGCCATTCCGTCATACATGGGCAGGCGAATCATGCATGCAAACACGGGAGTGGAAGGACATTAGGACAGGCACAAGCACACATTCACAAATCTTGACATACAGCCTAGAATGTTTGTGTTAGTTCTTGTGTCTATTAAATATTGTTTCAAGGATCCAAGGCGGCACAAGGCCATAATCGGTTATATTCTGTTGTAAATATTGTCCTTCATTTTGAAATGACTTACTGGCCGATTGAATTGGGACTCAGTCCGGCTTGTTTGTCAAGAGAAACTAGAGAATGGGGTGGAGAAGGCTGGTGCTAGCGGTGACTAAGGGGAATCGGGGGCGAAGAGAGGACATTTTCAGAAGGTCTGTCCAGAGAGCTCGGAAATGCGACTGTTTTCGTCCCCAAACAATAAGCCTGTCCAATATTATACAAGTTTAAACAAAAACACCCACCAATCCACCCACACACAAACACACATAAACGCATGTGCACAAAAAGTCGTATGTGCCGGTCGCCCCAACTGAGTATAGACGCAGGAGCGTGCGAATATGTCTACATGTAGATGATCATGACAATAGTTGAAAGGATGTCAGTGTTGAAATATGAGCCGTCGAGGGGATCGCAGCCGAGCTCCTTCGTGGCGGTAATGAACTCGCGTCTCAACCAAGTTGAAGGAAAAGGTCGGGGGAGAACGAGGCCAACTGGCACATTCATTGCATTGTGTCTGTACACCCGCAACTTCACTTGTCTTGGGGCGTCGAGAGGGAGCGAGGGAGAGTAGCAAATGAAGAGGAATCGAACTGAATCTGGGGGAGAGCCAACGGACGGAGGATTCTATTGGCTGCACCAGCCGAAATTCAACATTGTTCTACAGGTCAGAACGACACTGTGTCAAGACGTCCAGTTAGATCCAAGACTTAAAAACATGTTGCCCTGGCCCGAGGATTTCGACGGCCTTATTAAGCCCATTATAGTTCAGCTGCAGACGACACCGGAAAAGCCCCGACTAGTAACCACTTGGGGCATGTTATGCACTTGTCCACGCAGAGATTCGGAACGTCCAGCACCGACGCAACTACGAGGTATGTGAGTATGTCTGCTCCCGTGGAAGGGCATCTACGCATCCTGTCACCCTGAAAGATGGTATCAGTTTTGTGAGTTGTAACTCAGTGCTAAGAATGATACCTTTCACTGGAAATGATCATAGATACTATGGGAAAGTTGGCATGACACAACCTCCAACCAAGTGGTGGAGCAAAGGTCAATTTATGTCGTTTATAAACGAAACTTCTTCATTCCATTTCGTTTAAGGTGATAAAGAGACTGTATGTTGACTTTTTACCCAATCGTAGGAGCAGACCTTACGCATCTATTGCATTTTATTTAAACTTGCCTCTCGAAAGGTATTCCCATCCAGGCTGAAGTGAACTTCACTTTCGATTTTGCCAACGTCTCATCAGCACCCCCGACGGGACGGAACGAAATGTACCACAGTCGAGCATATGAGGCCTCTTTGTGCGGGTAGGTGGGTGAGATGACAGCCGGCCGGAGATTTTGGTTGGTGTTTAATGGCGCTTTGTTAAGGCATGGTTTCACGCTCAGATGATTTCTGTCGTGGCGAGCTAGACGAAAGATGAGTACAGATTGGTTGGAATCTCAGAGGAATGACCCGAGGATTCTTAAGCTCATGCCAACTGTCTTATTGGGTGCCTGATGAGTCCGAATAAAAGGTAGCACAAGATGAATATACCAAAGGGTTCCGCAAAGTCCACCTTCGCTATAAGAAGTACCAAACATTTGGTACTGAATTGTGGCCTTCGCAGCAGTAATGTGAAAGAGCTGTGCTCGAATTTACTACAAGTTCGAACTGTTTCCTCACCAGACATGTTGAGTCAGGTATGTCAGCGAACAAACCGCGGAATATGAAGATTGTATGTGTTCTTTTTACGACTGGAAAAGGAAGAGCTCTCTAAGCTCCAACAAATCACGGTCGTCAGGCATTTTCTTACCACTATTCGCTGTTTGTAGGTTCCAGAATCTGGTACCTTTGACAAGTGAAAAATAATCAGCCTAAACTCATTGTATAGAAGTTGTTTGACCTTGTTTTCGCAACTTGGTCACAATGGTAGGAAGACCTATAGAAACACAACTTTTCCTGAGTCCATTGTATACATAATTATTTTTAAAGTCGGACCGTGGACGTGTTACATTCCACGTCCATGGTCCGACTCTGGAAATAATTATGCATACAATGGACTCAGGACAAGGTGTGTTTCTATAAGTCTTCCTACCATTATGACCAAGTTGCGAAAAAAAGGTCAAACAACTTATATACAACGAAAGGAGACTGCGACCACACAAAAGGCCACACCATCTTGGTCTTTATATCTTCGACTAAACTCATTGAACTTGAAGAGTTGCCATGACCATGTTATTTCTGCTGGCCTGTACAATCATTTAGCTCATCTTGTATGTGATTCGCAGACTAACTGGGACTTTAGGTGGAAGTGGTTTGGCCTAACTTTCGCAACTTGGTCACGTTTTCGAGGTGACCTCAATGTACCTCCCACGTCCGGGGTCATGGTGATCTTTAGTGAGCGCCGAGCCACGACCCATCTAATGCACAGGATTCGATGACGGTGTGGACTACAATGTAAGTACAACTTGTAGGAATCTACCAAATCCACGTTCCAAGATGGAACTGATGTCTCGGGACAAAGTAGTTTCTTTGGAATCTTCTTGCAGACAGGACTAAGTTAAAAAATACAAGGCTAAACCACTTTGATACAGTGAAAAAAGTCTGTGATCGAAATAGATGCAACACCATCTGAGTCTCAATTTTGTTAGCCTGGCCTCCCATATGATTGCCTTTGCTCGATTGAAGAAATTCATAGAATATTTTCATATACGAATGAAGTTGTGCAGGACTGACAAAAGTTTATCATCGCCACCTAGTCTGAAGATAACAAGACTAAAGACAGCGGGTATTTGGTAACTCAGACGAAGCAGACACATACGAAAACATGACTAATTAAGGAAATAAAGTTATAATGAGGGCGCTGGACGAGGCATATTTATTCAGCTATTCAGGTATTTCTGTCGACACAGCCAAATTGCGAAAACTAGTTCAAATCACTTCTTCAAAGTTGAATAAGTCTGTAATATATTAATGAAGAGAGAATTTCAATAATATAAGTCTTGAAAAAGAACTTTATTTACCGTAGGTTGATCAAGTTGATGAAGCACTAAGAGCAAACCTTTTCTACAATTAGAGGAATAGGTTAAACGGCGGATAAGAATTTCACTTGCCCTTTCTTCCAAAAGATATACTCATCCAAGCTATGGGTGCCATTAAGATCCGATTGCAGTCAACCCTAGAAGAGAATGGCATTTGCAATCAAAGCTAGATGAAATTCAAGTTTATTGTCAAGCCTACTTATCTTATTGTGGGAAAATTCACAATCAGTCTTTCATCAACTTAAGCCATCTAGGTGACCAAAATAGAGTATATATCATTTTGGTCTTTTTACCTTTAATACGATTAGAAATAGATTGACATCTTGCTGGTAAGAAATTTCTGGAACTGCAAAATGATAGGGTAAACTTTTGATAAAAAACCTTTAGATTGAGAGAGCGATACACAGGCCATAATCCATTTTAATAGATATGAAAGCCAAGTCTTATTTAACTGTATGCAATTGCCTTTTCCATTTCATTTTGGCCCAAAGGGCTTTAAGGGATCTGGTGAGATCGACTTTCCCTTGACATGAAGTCATACCAGCAAAGACACTGCGTGGGAGCAAAACCAATCATGAAGAGAATCACAAGAATGGCAAAAAATGTGATTGTGAAATTGAACT